CGAACGCCGGCTTAGGGGACTCGAGAAAAGAGAGATTATAATTCGGTAATCGGTACGCAAGGGCCTCTCTTGAGGGGGGCCCGCGAGACGAGTGATAATGTATGACGCGTGTAGGATGTGGCTTTTGCGAATGCGGGTGCATAGTCGACGCGTAGTTGTAACGTTTGTGAATACATAAAATAAAACGACCAAAAAAAAAAAACCGAACAGGGAGTCTTTCGTACCTTTCGTACCTTCTCCTCCGTATCTTCCAGGAAGAACTTCTATCTCAGAGAGCTCGATTGTGATTATTATTTGCAGTAAAATTGAATTTTTCGAAGACTAACATCCTGTGTCTCCTCGGGACTAGACAAATTCGTATTGTCCCCTGTCTTGTGTTATCAATGCGTTTCGTACGTTTCTTTTGTATATTATTTTCTTGTTTATCCACGAGAAGGAAATTCGTCTTACAACTTTAACATGTTATTTTCTGAAATGTTTCATATTTATTTCATTTATTGATATATTTAGCGATAAAATGCTGTTGCTATAACATTTTCAAATGTGCAATAATAAGAACGTATTCAGAAGCTGTATTTAAAGTACATTGTTATTAATATTATTATAAGAGTTGCAATTATTACTCATATAATTAATCTACGGTCAAATTGTATAATATAATATACAATATAATATTATAATTAATATACTAATACACAATATTATATTTACACTTTATTTTTTATTTTTTATTGCTATCATTGTATATAATTTTTGTGTGTAATATTTTAATTCTTGAAACTTTATATTGTAACGTTCGGTTCAGCGTGTTGAAAAAAAGTAGATTGAAATAGATCAGAGAAAATATAGTAAGAAGATATTTTTAGTTTGCTCTTTGGCATAAAACGCAGCAAAAACTAATAATTTTTATTCACATACATATGTATTTGCACATGCCGATCTTATTCGAATTGACACAATGACTCGTTTCCGTCGTAGTCAAACGCAGCCGAATTGCCCAGTAATTTGCGTATTACAGCTGTAGATATACGTGCACATACCTCTTTACACTCCGCATCTTGACAAGAGAAATCGTGTTTTCCATTTTCTTTTTTTGTAAGGCCCGTATTTATATAGTCGCATTTGTGTCGAGGAACACAGGTTAAAACCAGTTTTAAGACACGATACGATTCAACAGAGAGACACGGTTCAACAGGCAGAATCAATTCGATTTCTGACATGATCGTCACGTTTATAATCGATTCAAGTGAGAAACAAATCAGATGATGTTTGCCTTCAGATACAATCTGAGTTCTCGCAGTTCAATAAGCAAAATTAAAAGTTTCTGCAAAGTTTTGTATCAGAAAAATAACGTAATCCGAGCTGGAAAATAATTTGCGTTTAAACATTTTAAATGTTACCTCACTTTAAATATTCTGATTTATAATACGTTATAGATACTTCCAAATAAAAATCGACATTTATTTACAAGATGTTATTTGTGATCGAAATAGTTATGTTCTGAAAGTGCATCATTGAAATTATCATTGATTTTCAGTGCATATCATTTTCCAGTGGCACTTAGAACTGTGATAAACAGCACATATTTCAATGTTCTTTTAGTGATAATACGTATACTGATTCGAACAGCGAATATCACTAAAAGACGGTGAGTTTCACTGTCAAAAGTTTTGACAACTAAAATTTACTGTCTTTCAGTGATATTCACTGTTCGAATCAGTATATTTACTGAAAAAAAACACATTGAAATACTCACTGATTATCATTGTTCTAAGTATACCACTGAATAATAATATGCACTGCAAATCAGTGGTAATTCCACTGATTCACTTTTAGAGAATATATCCCAAATTTTGTCAATTTTTCTGTATTATTGTATTAATCA